CAGCGAACGGCGCGGGGACCGGCACCCGGTGTGGGAACCGGCGGGGGGCCCGCGACTGCCCGGTGAGTTCCATCGGACACGCCGATGGGAACAGGTCAACAGTTCGCTTGTGACCGGTTCAGGAGCGGGCCTGCCTATCTCCTGGATGAAAGMTTTCCCCGAGATAAGGCCGAGCGCTGGCTGATGGCTCTGGTGTGCAGAGCCACGTGGGTTTGCCCAAAGCCGGCAGGAGCGGGCCCGGAGTGGTGCCGTGCCGGTGGTGGAACAATGCTGAGTGTGGAAACATGGCTGCTGCCGGCCTTCCTAAATTTTTTCTTATATATTCTAAATACTAATGCAGTTGAGACTTCAGGTATTGTAAAATGTCTCCTTTTTAAAAATTGTTAATCGTTACAGTATCGTGTCTTCCCACACGCTTTTTTTTTTTTCTTTTTTACAATAAGGAAATAGAGGGAATATTGCAGAAAAAAATCTACTACAGCAAAATGGGATACTTGGGGATACTCCGTTAGGAAATAGCAGGCTTGCTGTGCTCATTCCTCCAGTTGTGTTCCCAACTGTTGTGTTCCATGGTGAAGAGCCTACAATTACAAGATTAAGCAGTGCTCTGAGTAATCAGAAAGTTGCAATGCTCCTCACTTTGATTCCCACACACTTACGTAAAGGAAGTGTATTTGAAAGGAGAACCAAGCTGTGGTTTGCTTAACTGCACAGTGAAGAATAAAATTAATTTTAATTTCAATTATGCAGGGCAGCATCCCTGAACTGCTTACAGCCACAGAATATAAACTGTTAGAGCTSACTGCCCCTTATCTGTTTGTCCAGAAGCCAATGGCACTACGATGAAGAGCTTATCAAACAACTAAGAAATTGTCATGCAGATTATGATAGTCTTGTATGCATCCCTGAGATTTGCCACAGGGCAGTCTTGAATAGTGGTTACAAGACTATACCATTTCCTGCATTTTTATGTATGTGCAGCAAGTATATATATTTTATTTTTWAAAATTAATTTACTAATTTGAAGGTAGCTCATGTAGGATTTATACATTCCTAATGTCTGCTCAGTCCTCTATGCACTTGACCCCGACTCAGCACAGCTCTCCTCATTCACCGGCATCACASGGGCACTGTCACTGTCCTCACTGCCTCTTTAGGAGCAGAGTGGGGAATGGGAAGTGAGTCAGACATCACTCTTCTGTCCCAGATTGCCAACAGTTCTTTGCTGGTCCCAGGACTAGGGAGGTGAAGAAAAGTTGCATCAACTTGTTTTATCTTTTATTTGATTCTGTTTGCTGGTTACAGCTGGGCTGGACCTGTGAATCACTCCAGATCYCTGCAGTCATTAGTCAAAGCTAATGCCACACTATCATAATCTGCTGTGGCTATCATAATGCCACAGTAGAATATTTTCTTATCTTGTCATTATGAAGCAGTAATTCTAGAATTGCAACAATTCTTGTCATATTATTGTTATAATTTTTTCCAAAAAAAAAAAAAAAATTACAGTGATTGTCTTGGGGGATGTGCCAAGCTGGAATTGTGGAAKCACAGAAATACAGCTTGAGATTTCTGCTTAGTAATTTGAACAGATATTTAATCTGAATAGAATTTGCAAGATCAGAATTACAATGATCCAAATGTTAGAAGTAACATTTCCTACTTTMACAATCTGTGATTCAAATAAAATGTGATATAGTTCCAAACAGATAACACCATGGAGAGTGAAAAGGGAATTTATTTTTGTGGGATTGAGCAAAAGGGGATGGCAGAAAGAGAAGGTTCACTGGTCCATTCAAAAATCCACAAAGGTAAGGTAAATCACATGCTCATGAGGGTAGTGTTTGAAAGTACACTTTCCTGGTCCAGAAAACAYTTGAAGTCCATTCCTATTTGTGACAGTTCCCAAGCTGATCCTCAGTTTCACAAATAAGCTTAAGAACCTGATTAACTCAGCCCTTCTTAATTTCCCCTTCTTAATGGCTTAAATTATGATACTTGAGGAAAACAGAGGTGAAAGATGTGAAATCAGGAAAGAAAAAAACAGGAAAAGGAATGTTATGAGTAAGCAAAAAGAAGGCAAAGACATTCCAAGTGGTTTTATAAGTAATGCAGTAGCTAAGGGAGGTGTCAGCAAGGGAGAGGGCAGTGCTAAAAGAGAACTGAAACTTAARTGCCCAAGAGAAATGAAAGTGAAACTCCAGACTGTAAATGGAATGAGGACATGGAGGGGAAGTGCTCCAACACTGGGAAACTGATATGACAGAAGAGGCTACTTGCCTATGGCAAGTGCCCTGGAGGATTTTTAACCTGTTTTTTCTTTAAAAGAAGTATAGCTTGCATAAATCTTTAATGACTTGGGCCCACAGTCATGTTGACTGAGGGTGAGTGACTGTACAGAGCCTTAGAGAGAATAGTATGTTTGTAATCTGTCTGAGCCAAAAGCCAGATGAACTCTGATGCAACACAGAGCAGGCAGAGGGGCAGCAGGACAGTGCTGCTGGTTCAGCACTTCTCTGGGAAGTGGTTTTAATTAGAGTACAGGAGGGATCTGGCCTGACACCCCAGGTCAAAGGGCCAGAAGCTGTGTCCAAGCAAGCCATGGTTGCCACAACTGAATTTGCAGCAAAAGGAATAGTGGCTTTTCTGAGTCTTTCCCACCTGCTCTGTTTTCATCTGTACATTATAATCCCTCTTTACCAAAGCCCCAGAGCCTCCTGAGGGCAGAGTGGCTTCATTGCTGATCTAGWAATGTCCTTACTGACAGGTCCTTCTGTGAGTCGTCTGGCTCAGCTTTTCCACCTGGCTGTGATGGCGACAGGGTTTCTCTACTTTGTGTCCCACCGCAGCGAGTAGAGGCAGCCACAATGTATCTTTTCTCACCTTTTCCCTCACTAAGTTCTTCCAAATAAATAATCAGCATTGCGCGGTTTTGTTCAGCAGACCTAAAACTTCCCCGGCAATGTTTTTAGATGGCAGAAAACCAGTTAGAAAAATAAACAGCAGAACACTGAGACACTGGGACTGAGTGCTGAAGTCAAGGGAGGAGCCAACAAAGCAACCTTCAGCTCTATCAACACACATTTCCCTTTATTTCTTTTTTTTAAAAAATATTGGCTTCTCACCAAGGCAGTCAAAAGATTTTCCATTAATTTCAGCCATATATGAAATCAGTTTCACAGCCTCTGTTTGTTTGTTCCTTTACCCCTGCGAAGGATCTCCTAAAATTTTTTTGTAAGAATAGGAATGAAGTTGACCTGTGGTCTATCCAGATAGGCATGCTGTAGTATATGCAGATATGTATTTCATATAGAGTAGTACATATATGTGTTTCAGGATTTTTTTTCATGTTCATGCTGTTCCCCAGGTATGCTGTCTTTGCTACTAGGTATTTTCACTTTCAACAAATGCTCAGTGAGGATCTGCACATGGATTCCCATACTACAGGGTGGAAGATGTATAGATAAGGAAACAAATCTTCTATCCTCCTTTCCTCCTTTATTCTATTTCTTTCCTTCCCCTCCCCCTTTATTCCCTTCCTTCTCCTTTTCCAAACTGTAGGATGATCAATTGATTCTTTATACAAAGTTTTCAGATGTGTTTAATACACTGAATGTTAATGTCAGTAACATTGTCAGGTCTTCCAGCCAAACTCTCAAGGTGTGAGGGGAATCATTCCAAGCAATGTCAGACAAATGTCACACGAAAGAAAACAACCTGGAAGAAAAGATAAGTTCCTTGATAAAGCTTTGGAGCAATTTTGCTGACTCATGATTTGTCCTTTATCTCATGACATTTGGCATTTTTTTGTGTAACWTATCTTTTGTTAAATAGGAGGTAGTTACCTTTTAGCCCTGGGATCTGGCTGAAAAAGCCTTGAGAATGTGACAACTCGAAATTCACTAAAAATAAAACCTGTCAAATCGATAGGTTGTTATTACTTACTTTTTAATTCTTATTACTATGATGGATTTTGAGTAGTTCAGCTTTGTTATTCTTTCAACCTCTTTTTCAGCAGCAGTTGAGCAGGCTTATGTGTGAAAACTGAAGATATGTTTAAGAAAGGACTTTTT